TAAAGTACATCCTCCAGGCTGCTTGTTTATGTTGCGGTTGCGACCGTGCCCATACAGCAGGCTTGCAAAACTGTCACCAAACACAAAGCCACCACAACAAAAAAGTCAAAGCAGAAAAATTTACTTGCCCGCCCGCCAGCGTGACCGTTTCTTTTGAAGGAAAAACTGCTTTTTAGCCATTATCAAAGGTAAAAAAAAAAAAAAAGTCTTTCCATGGATAAGGTTGGAAAGCTGAGAGGTGGGGTTGGCCTGGAAAGAGACGGTCCCTGTAGCCCTGGGCTGCTCTGGCATTTCCATTCCTGCCGCCGGCAGAGCCCGTGCCCGGGGTGTGGGAGGATGCTGCCGGAGCGGAGGGGACCGAGCCCCAGCCCTGCCAGGAACAGCCTGGAGGACTTTCAGTGGAGGTGTCTCCCACGTGCTCCTCAGGTGCCTTAAACAGCTTCCTGCTTTGTTTTAGTCTCTGCCTTTGGGAAGCTCCTAGAATCACAGACTGGTTTGGGTGCGAAGGGACCTGAGAACCCCCCCAGTGCCACCCCCTGCCCTGGGCAGGGACACCTCCCACCACACCAGGTTGCTCCAAGCCCCCTCCAACCTGCCCTTGAACCCCTCCAGGGATGGGGCAGCCACAGCTTCTCTGGCCAACCTGGGCCAGGCTCTCCCACCAAAGTTCTCCCTGAGATCTGACCTCCCTGTTTTTCCCAGGGGACTGTTAACCAGGGGACAGAAAGCAGGGTTTGGAAGAAAAAGCCTGGGAGTGCCCCGAGGCTGGGGGCAGGGAATGGGGGTCGGCAGGAAATCACAAGCAAGAGGGGAACAAATGGCAGGGGAAGATCTTCACGCCTTTCTCCATTAAATCCAGCCTCACAGCCCGGTTACGTCCCTGCTCCCCATGTCCCTGCTCCCAGGGCTTCCCCACCTGCGTGGCTGTTCCTCCGGCGTCTTTGCAGTGAGGGGGATACATGAAGGTCTTCCTTTCTCCCTCTCTCTTTGGTACCTCTCTTCAAATTTACTTTTTTTCCTTGAATTTTCCGGCAAGGCTGAGAGTGAGGGTGTCCTGCCCGAGGCACGGCCGGTCTCTAACGGAGCCTGGGAAGAGCAGGAAAAGGGTGATGGTGCTGCTGGGGATGCTCTGCCAGGAGCTCGGTGCTTCTCCAGCGGCTGGGGACAGGCAGATAGAGCCCCATCCCCATCTTGGCGTGTGTTTAACTTCAGGGGGTGAAAATGGAGAGGTTTTTTGGGTTTTGGTGTGGTTTTTCTGTTGTTCTCCCACCCCGGGGAAGAGGCTTCCTGGCTGGATTTGAGATTTTGAACTAGGAGAGAGCACAGGGGTGCCAGAGCCGAAGCTGCACTGACATAAGTGACAGCTTTTGTTTAGAAACTGCAAATTTGACACAGACCTTGTTTAAGCACACAGTTCTAGCTTTGCCAGGAGAGCTAAAGCAGTACAAGCCTCCTCCTGCCAGCAGAGCTTTTTCCTTCCCTGGAGGAGGCAGTTGGGTGCTGGTGTGGCTCTGCCCGCTCGAGGGGCTGCGACCAGAGCAGTGTATCTCATGTAAAACTCACGTGCCGTGCCTGGATTGAAGCTGACGTGAAGCCGGGCTCGGAGCAAACCTTCTGTGTTTCAAAAGAACGTGCACAAGCTCAAGCACCTGCTTTCCTTCTAATAAGAGGGGCTGGTTTGCCTATTAATTGCATGCCTAATGTCGTTGCCTCGTTGGTTGCTCCAAGCCCCCTCCAACCTGCCCTTGAACCCCTCCAGGGATGGGGCAGCCACAGCTTCTCTGGCCAACCTGGGCCAGGCTCTCCCCACCCTCACACCAAACAAGTTCTTCCCCACAGCTCAGCTCCATCTCCCCTCTTGCAGGGTCCAACCCTTCCCCCTCCTCCTAGGGCTCCCCTCCCTCATCCAGAGTCCCTCCCCAGCTTTCCTGGAGCCCCCCTTCTTTAGGGACTGGAAGGGGCTCCAAGGTCTCCCCGGAGCCTTCTCTTCTCCAGGCTGAACCCCCCCAACTCTCTCAGCCCCCCCTCCCAGCAGAGGGGCTCCAGCCCTCCCAGCATCTCCGGGGCCTCCTCTGGCCCCAATCCAAGAGGTCCATGTCCTTCTGCTGGTGGTGGCCCCAGAGCTGGAGGCAGCACTGGGGGGTGTCTCCCCAGAGCGGAGCAGAGGGGCAGAATCCCCCCCTGGCCCTGCTGGCCACGCTGCTGGGGATGCAGCCCAGGGGTGGGGGGTTTCTGGGGTGACAGGACACGTTGCTGGGACGTGTGGAGCTTCTCACCCCCCAACACCCCCAGGTCCTTCTCCTCTCGTTACAGATGATCTTCTGGGGGGCAGTCGGGCCCCCCTCGACTCCTGCCCACACAGGGCTGCCCCAGCGGCGCGTCCTCCTGCGGGGCTGGGATTGTTTGCCTTTGGCTCAGCATCCCGGCCCCAGGCCTTGCACGCTTGTTGTGCCCTTTCCAAAGGGGAGCGATGGCTTTGGAAGGGGCCCAGCAGGTCTGGCAGGCGTTTCTGCTGGACCTCGCTGCTGCTAATTTCACATTCTGCATGCTCCGTGGGGTGCCCCGCTCCAGCACGTGTCCCGCGTGTGACCGCTCGCTCTGCCTACTGCATCTCCATTGTTCATGTTTGTATACAGCGAAACTCAAATTGGGATTTTATTATTTGGAGGGTTTTTTTTTTTTAGTTTGAGACAGCGAATGGGTGTCTTAAGGGGATGGATGTAATGCATCATGCTGTTTTGTTACTCTGGATGGCCTCGGCACTAACCTGGCACGGCATTCTCCGGTGTTCACCCAGCTGAAGGACGCTATAGATGCATCTTCACTGCTCACTAGTGCCCAAAATCACCAGTAAAGGTGATATTTTCAGTACCCTTCTAACCCAAGAGCAGACTCTGAACCCAAATGCATAATTATATTATTCACAAGTGACGCTTTGACAAGAGGGAAGGTGATGGTGGTCCACCACCTTGGCTGGAAGAAGGACGTGATGACACAAGGTCTTGAGAGCGAAGTTGCAAGTGTCTGTGTTTCCTGAGTGCTTTGAGCACGAAAGGAGACTATCAGCTCTACACCATGGGCAGGAGAAGCCCTTTGGGGAAACCCTATGTCCCCTCGTCCAAGAGTGATGATCTGAGCTGGGTGGATCTGCCCGGTGGTAGCAGCGTGGACCTCCCAGCTAACTGTGGGAGTGGGGCTGAGCTGCTGGCACTGGATGAAATCCTGCCCCGGCATCACCTGGAATCCTGCCCCAGCAGTGGCATAATGGTGTTCTCCATGATCCGAAGAACCCTGGATCATGGAATCAGAGAATAACGGGTTGGAAGGGACCTCTGGAATCTTCTCCTCCAACCTTCTGCCAGAGTAGGGTCACCCAGAGCAGGTTGAACAGGAACGAATCCAGATGGGTTTTGAACATCTCCGGAGACAGAGACTCAAAACCCTCTCTGGGCAGCCTCTTCCAGGGCTCTGCCACCCTCACAGCAAAGAAGTTCCTCCTCATGTTTAGAACTTCCCATGTTCAAGTTTGTGCCCATTTCCTCTTGTCCTGTCCCTGGGCACCACTGAAAAACGACCGGCCCCATCCTCCTGACACCCACCCCTTAAGTATTTATAAGCATTGATGAGATCCCCCCTCAGTCTTCTCTTCTCCAGACTAAAAAGACCCAAATCCCTCAGCCTTTCCTCATCAGAGGGATGTCCTAGTCCCCTCATCATCTTTGTAGCCCTTTGCTGTCCCCTCTCCAGCAGTTCCCTGTCCTTCTGGAACTGGGGGGCCCAGAACAGGACACGGTGCTCCAGATGTGGCCTCCCCAGGGCAGAGCAAAGGACCATGCTCTTCTTGATGTTCCTTGGCTGTTGTTTCTCTTTTGTCGTGGTGTGAGGCTCCTTGAAGCTTCTGCTCAGCCTGTTTTACCTGCTCGGGGTGCAGGAGCGGGGGTTCGCCTGCCCACACTCCGACAGTTGCCCCAGCATCCTCTCCATAGCAAGGAGTGCTGTGAGCGGTGGGCCAGTGGTGGCCATGTGGCCAGTGCAGCTGTCTCAGCTATGCCAAAAAGTTTGCCCACATCTGCCTTGCGGATTCCTGGCTGCGGGGGTTGGGATTATCCCGTGCTCTTCCAGCACCTCGAAATAGCTGAGAAATCCCAGGAGCACGGTGAGGGGGTGGTGGGGAGGAGCACCAGCTCACCCGCCTGTCCCTGTGGGGCAAGGACACGGGGTCTGGGCAGCATTGGGACTGGGTGCTTCCCTGGCACGTCTCCAGCCACCAGCCCAGCTGGGAATGTGCAGTGTCCTGAACCTGATCAACCTGGGAGGTGAGGATGGGCAGTGGTGTTGTGGTTTCCAGCTATAGAATCCCAGAATCACAGACTGGTTTGGGTGGGAAGGGACCTCAAAGCCCCCCCAGTACCACCCCCTGCCCTGGGCAGGGACACCTCCCACCAGCCCAGGTTGCTCCAAGCCCCCAGCCCTCCCAGCATCTCCGGGGCCTCCTCTGGCCCCGCTCCAACAGCTCCATGTCCTTCTGCTGGTGGTGGCCCCAGAGCTGGAGGCAGCACTGGGGGGTGTCTCCCCAGAGCGGAGCAGAGGGGCAGAATCCCCCCCTGGCCCTGCTGGCCACGCTGCTGGGGATGCAGCCCAGGGGTGGGGGGTTTCTGGGCTGCCAGCGCACGTTGAGGGGCGTGTGGAGCTTCTCACCCCCCAACACCCCCAGGTCCTTCTCCTCAGGGCTGCTCTCCAGCCGTTCCCCCCCAGCCTGGGGTTGAGCTGGGCATTGCCCCAACCCAGGTGCAGGACCTTGCCCTTGGCCTGGTAGAACTTCCTGAGGTTGCCACAGCCCCACCTCTCCAGCCCCTCCAGGTCCCTCTGGATGGCATGGCTAGTGGGCATCTCAGAGGCTGCAAAAAAAGACAATGTGGTGGCCCGAACGTAGGTGTCCTTTGGTGACCGACGCTGTTCGGGGAGCGATTGCATTCTAAGAAATTTGGGCTTTTCCACAGGATGGTGTCAGACAGCGTGTGCTCAGGGAGTTGATACTCGTGTCCCTTCTGGACCTGCCACCGGAGAGCAGCCGGCACGGAGAGCATCTCACGCTTCACAGGCCCTTCTGCCAAAAGGTTCCCAAATACTTTGCAAGTCTTTATTAGCGCATTAGCTTAAACAAATTGAGTTATATACGCCACGGAGGGAGGAAAGGTGCCGCGCTCCTTCAGTGTTGACTTAAAGTTTAATTAATTTTGTTGCCAAATGAGGCATGAAATACAGTGTGAAATACATTGTGGCGCTGAATGCGTAATTGTGCGGGGGCCCAGGAGCGGAGCGAGCGCCGAGGACGGGGGATCACCTGGGGCACTGAGCTCTCGTGGCACCCAAACGTGCGCGTCTGGCAGCGGCGGTGGCACGGGGAGCTGCTTCGGGGGGGGGACAGGGGACACCCAGCCTCCCCCCGCAAAGAGGACGTGGCATCTGAAGCCGCTCTCGTGCCCAAGGGTTTGAATTTTTCACCCAAAGAGTGGTCGGGCATTGGAAGAGGCTGCCCAGGGAGGGGGTGGAGTCCCCATCCCTGGCTGTGTTTAAGGGCCGTTTAGATGCAGTGCTGAGGGACATGGTGTAGGGGAGGACTTGGTAGAGTAGGGGAGATGGTTGGACTCGATGATCCCAAGGGTCTCTTCCAACCTAGACCATTCTATGATTCTATGTTCGTGCCGGGGGATCCAGCCACCGGAGCCAAACAGCCGGACAGAGTCCCAGGGTCTGTCCCCTCCGGGACGCGGCAGGAGCGGCCGCTGTGACCGTTGTATCTTTGCCATCTTAAAAATGGATTCAACCTGGATTTGGGGACATAATATGGTGTTTTTACCGCCTGGTTGTAAAGATTCTGGGTTTGTCTGTCCCAGGTGGCCTTGTAGGGTGGAAATACCTATAAGGAGAGAGCAGGAGAGGAGAATGCTGAACTGTGAGCGAGGATTTCTCCATATAGGTGGAAATACCTATAAGGAAAGAGCGGGAGAGGAGAATGCTGAACTGTGAGCGAGGATTTCTCCATATAGCTGGAAATACCTATAAGGAAAGAATGGGAGAGGAGAATGCTGAGCTGTGAGCGAGGATTTCTCCATTTGGGGTTTGAGAATTTTAGTAGTGGCTGTTTTGAAGCTCTTCTGGCCGCCGTGATTAACGCTTCTGGAGGGGGGATGTCTTCCCAGCGCCTCGCCTCCCCCACTAAAGGAGGGAAAGAGGCAGTTCAGGACATCTGCCCCCTTTTATTTTATCTTGAGTTTTTCAATTAACTCCCCAGGTAACCCAGCTCCAAAGCCGGCAGGGAGAAAAAGCTAAAAAAATACTGTCCATCTGCCTGTTAACCCTGAGAAGCGCATCCCCACCTCCAAAGTGACCTAAGGCAACGGCTTCCTCTAAATTTAGCTGGAGATTGCGTCAGGAGCAAGAGGGAGGTGAAGTTAATGTGGCATAAGCTCGTTCTAGCAGGGAAAGCTTCATGGTTAGACGGGGATGGAAAATAAATAAACAGACCTTGTTTCAGAGCGTGGGGGGACACGGCTGGAGAAGGGCGGCCTCCAGCACCCCGATACGCCTGTCGAGGTGGGGGTTTCATACCCAGTGGGGCAGAGGACAGTCTGCAAAACCTTGGTCCATCATAATAAAGGGGAAGCACCTTCCAGGAAAGCGGGTGATGTTCCCTGTGTCCTGTCTGCAGGATGCTGGGGACAGCCAGCGAGCCAGGGGTCTCCTTTGGTGGAAGCAGGTTTGGTGGTGGCTGCCCAGAGCTCACTGGCCACCACTCAAGGCAGGGCTGTTCTTCTCCTTCCTTCCTTTTGAAGCATCTTCTGCCCACCCTTCATCCCTGACCCCCAGGGACAAGGAATCATAGAATCACAGAATGGTTAGGTCCCTGTCCCCCAGGGACAAGGAATCATAGAATGGTTAGAGTTGGAAGGGACCTTAAAGATCATCAAGTTCCAACCCCCCTGCCCTGGGCAGGGACACCTCCCACTAGAGCAGGTTGCTCAAAGCCCTGTCCAACCTGGCCTTGAACCCCTCCATGGGGCATCCACAGCTTCTCTGGGCAACCTATTCCAGCGTCTCACCACCCTCACAGCAAAGAATTGGTGAGGGCTTTCCCCTCTGAAAGCCCTCCCAGGTCTCCGTCATGGTGCTCTTTGGTCTCAGATGTGGTGGCATTCAAGAGTGCCCCAGGGGACAATCTGTGGTGGCCCTGCCCTGGAAGAAGACCCAGGCAAACTCCTGCAGGACAAGCCTTGGAGGACACTGGTGTTCTCAGTCACCTCTTACCTTTCTACTTGTCTTGGGGGGGTGATGGGTGGCTTGGCTTGTGACAAGGGACAGCCCCTGTCCTTGTGGTGTGTGTGTGACCATTCCTCGAGAGTGGGGAGGTCCTGGGCCCCTCTGACCCTGTCCTCGTGGTGTGTGTGTGACCGTTCCTCCAGAGTGGGGAGGTCCTGGGCCCCTCTGCTTTTTTTTTTCTTTTTTTTTTTTTAAAGTGAGGTGGTCTCTATTCCAAAGGCTTCTTAATGCCCCGTTAACATTGTTATACAAAACAGCAGCGTGCCATTTAATTAGGAAAAATACGTACTAACCTCTACCATATGTTGCTCTTCTCCCTGGATTTGCATTTGAAAGTCCAGCTGAATTTCAATGTGAAACTGGATTTTATCCAAATGATGAATGGCCCGAGCGGCTGTGGGAAGGTGGACGTGTCTCCCCATTGCATGTGGTTGGCTTTTTTTGTTTGGGGTTGTATTTTTTTAATTTTTTTTTTTGCCTTCTTAAAAAATTTTAAAGCAGGATTCCTTTCCTTCTTGTACGAGATTTAGTCTCAAGCAGCGTGTTCTCGGTGGCAGGGCCGGTGGTGGTGGAGGAGATGACCCTGCCACCGAGCCTCCCCGTTTCAGCCATGGCTGCTCTGTCCTCGTCGCTTTGTCATCTCCTTTGGTGACTTCAAATAAGACTTTGGTATCAACGGGTACTTTTTCTTTCAAAAGACAAGGCAGTGGCCCGGCCGTGTGGGCTCCGACCCACCGTTGCCTCCACAGCAGGAGCTGGGGAGGGTTGTTGGCTTGGATCCCCAACCTGCCATGGATGGGGCTTGTCTCCGAGCATGTGGGGCTTTGCTAAAACCTCCCCCCGGCCACAGCTTCCGAGCTGGGGGTTGAAGCTTTTTGGCTTTTTCTTTTCAGTTTGTTGGAGTGGTGGCAGCTCCAAGCCCCTTCACAGATGGGGCACAGTGGTGTCTCTGTGGCCATCCCTTCTCTGGCAGCGTGGGACAGTGTTCCCCGGCTGCCCTGAAAGAGGAGCAGTGGCATCTCAGTGCTGCTTGTGCTGCTGGGAGAGGAGCTGCTGATGGCAGCACGTCCTCACAGTCCCTTGGCCAGAGGGTGGACTTTTCTCCTCATCTGAGGTACATTTAAACCCAGTTCAACTCTGTAAGAAGCTCAGCGTGACTTTGCTTCGCAGGGTGTGCTCACACGGCTCTTGGTGACCTTTTCCTTTACCTACCTGGCAAAAAAACTCCTTAAAAATCAACTTTGTATCCTGATTATTTCACATCCTCTGCCTCTGTGAGTCCTTGGGAGGATGGCTCGGGTGCCGGGCTGGCCGCGGCGCTCGCAGGGGGAGCTGGTTGCCACAGGTTTCTGACTTTTGTTCTCCTTTCTCTTGGCCCCTTGGAGATCAGTTCAATCTTTAAGACAGTTTTTGTTGGGGTTTTTTGTTGTGTTAATGCAGCTGAACTAATATGATTACATTTCCAGATTTGGGTAATGGAATAACAAGTCAGGAAGCTCTTTTTTTGCGCCCCCCCCCTTTTTTTTTTTTTTTTTTAAGGAGAATTTATGTCACTACCAAATTATCCAAGTCTCCACTTGGGAAGATCTTTCCCTTTCTCAATTACTCTTGACATGAGGGCTCCTTGTGCCCGGCATCCTGGTCCTGGCATAAGGGCTGCTGTGCTTTATGCTCATGGACCACGGACCAGGTTGTCCTGGATCCCCAAAAAGATGGGTCCTCCCTTCCCTACGAGACCTGCCAGGCTGAAGGGGCCGTGTACATCCCCCAGTGCTGCCTTGGGGGCAGGACCCCTGGACGCCTGGGGCAGTTCCAGCAGCATCTCGAGGCGCGTTGGCTTCGCTCACCTCCGCGCTGGCTCTCGGGTTTCGGAGGAGCAATCTGGAAAACAGCTCAGCCAAACCGTCTCGCGATGGCAACTTCCTTTCTAAAAAGAGAAGGATGTTGCGGAGTTAGTGGCTTCCCATTATTTTCCCCAACTCGAGCCCTTTTTCTTGCCGTTGTTCCCCCGGTGTCGGGCCGTGGGGTCAGCTTTGGGATGGAGACACACCGGGACACAGGGTGTGGGTTTTGCTTTGCCTTCCCCAAGCACCGAGCTGCTCCGTCCCTCCCGGGACAGGGGTCCCGGCCGATGGAGCCCCGGTACCGGTTGGCGGAGGTCCCACACCGGGATGGCACCACGTGGGAGCGGGGCCCCGGCGTTTGCCCTTCTTTGGGAATGCTGTAAGAAGGTAGTGAGTCACTTTTCCATCGAGCCGATAGTTACCCTGCTCCTGTCTTGTATTTGTGTTGTGTAGCCAGCAGGATTATTTATAACTTCGCCAGCATCCCGAGTCTATTGTTTTAGCAAAGAGCAGGAATGACTAGATGACTTCCTGAGATTTTTTTTTTTTTTTACCACCCCCTCATTTTTTATTTTTTTAAAAATCTGCTTTTCCTTCCAAGTATTATGTTCGCCAGTTGGATGCTTTCCCCCCACATCTTCCCCTCCTGATTGTGCATTTGTGCTGCTGACAATCCCACTACCGGTGTTGCTTTAACTCTTAAAAACTCTCCCGGGAAGAGCCGGGGTCCGTGCCCCGGTAGGGCTGGGGCATCCCTGGGTGGCACCAGCAGCTCCCCCCGGCCTCAGGTGCTGGGGACCAAGGGATGAGGCTCTGGCAGTGTTGTTAACAGGAGGGTGAGCATCTATGCTCTTCCAGGAGTTACATTGGGTATCTCAGGATGCTGTGGATGAGTCAGGATGCTGTGGATGCCTTGGGATGCCATGGGCACCTTGGGATGCTGTGGATGCCAT